GACGCCATTCAGCATGTGGGCTCGCGCATCCGTTCCAAATTCTTCCCATGGGTTGACGAAGTCATTAGCGAAGACGAAAAACACTAATGCGACCGGGCCGTCACGGATCTTCATCGGACTGTTGAACTACACCTTCGCTGGCACGACAGTTGGCGTATATTTAATCGTTTCAGGATGGCCTTGAACTTTTGACACGGTTATGTTTGAAGCTGTGGGGCTCCACTAATATTTCTGACTGTGTTCAATTTTACCAAATCCGGTACCTTCATCACTACGTAATTACCTATATACTTGAATATCCTTGGAATTCCCATTAGAAGCGTATCATTTAGTATATGGTCTATTGCACCTTATCCTGAAAGCACCAAACCTGTCTATTTGACTTAATTGTCTATTGTGACTCGGTATTTCTAAGAATGAATAGAAGAAACTCACGGTTTTCGTGCAGTATGTCTTTCTTTCCGTCTTTTTTTAGCATCTCGCAGTATTCTCGGAACGGAGCATTCCTACGAAATCTCATGTGGTTCTATCCACTTTTTCACATAAAGTACTCTTAATCTACGCGGGTCGAGGAAAGAGGGCTTCACCAAATAGGGGATGAGCGATCTTGACAAAAAATTGTTTGTACACCAACTCCTTTCAGCGTGGCATGAAGTTATTCCCTTAACAGTCCACTCTCCCCCAATAGCACCAGATATTGGTTAATGCTGGTCCTACATTGAGTATGTTGCCTACATCTCGGGCAATATTGCCAATATAGGCTCAATATTGCCATCCCATCGTCGATCCAAAATTAGACCGACGCGATGATCCAACGTACCCGACCGCACTTGGACGTTTTTGTTTGGACGTTTGGTTTGGACGTTTGGAAAATATGAAGTTCTCCTTCAGGCCACTAGATTGAGGTTCGGGTCTTTTCGCACAGTACACAGAAGTACCCATCCCTTTTTCCCTGTAATCGTCCCTCACAGTGCCTCGCCATATGTCTCGCTTAGTCTCATTATAGCAATCGATAAACTCGGGTACTTCATAATTTGTTATCCGCATATTTGAGAAGGAATCATGGAGCCCAGGCAATAAAAAAGCTCATATTCCCTATGAGAAGCCCTTAAAGGAAGAACTTAACTCTTCCGAAATGAGTTTCACTAATCTCATTATATCTGCGATCTTATCAACCCTTTACCTTATCGTGTGAGCAGAATGATAGTTTCTTCCCCGGAGTCGGAAATGAAGGGCCGAACTTGCAGATACTCCATATACATGGAAGGGGGGATTTTACCACTGATATGTACTGAAAGTATTATATATTTAGCGGAAGGTCGATTACTCTACTGTTCTCTGTCTCCCGACGATCCATGGGACACGAATGGATGGGGTTTATACTAGTACATGTAGTATTAGTCCTGCAGATAGAAATCTCTCCACCAAGTTCTTACCTACACCAGGTAATACTGGTGCTAATACTGGGCCAAGATGTATATTCCTTGGCAGGCAATATCAATTCAATATCGGGATGCTACTGGGGTACTGGGGGTACTGGGGTACTAGTACCTGTCCCGCGTTTCCACGTTGGACTAGCATCAAATGTTGAAGTACGGCATAACTTTCAGTCGCTTAAAGGCTTAGAGTGAGCTTTGAAATTTTTACTCTTTTTTTAGTTCCCCTTACAGGGGCCTTACCACAGAGTCTCTCTCGGTCTGACTGGGAGTACTCCAACGAGTATCACCATAGTGTAGAGTGTGTAACAAGAGGCGACACTCTAAGAGGTATGGGGGGGAAGAAAGTTTAAATATTACATAGATATCTAGTGGCTTGTTATCAAGAGCGCTTCCGTGAGGCGTGCTTCGGGGCAGCGGAACAGGGAATCGACTCATTCGGGGATTCAACTCAAAGAGAGTCCTACAACGTAAAACGACCGTATTTTTGAGTCCGTTGCTTGGCCATGGAGAAGCTATTGAAGTGCGTACGCTCGGTCGATAGCGACATCTAAATTGCAACCCTGTGATATCCTGTGATATGTGAATCGGATTCCAGCAGAGTGTCGCCACTAGTTACACTCTCTACTCTGTGGGACTACTTCCGTCCTTCCCCATCTTTGGAGACATTCACTTTCTGCATTCATGTATTCAGATCCCAATTTGAACAATGCTTCCTCCATGATCGACACGAAGCTCCTTGGAGTCTTTAATATGTTTAAACTAATGACTTGAGGAATTCGAGTGCCTTCACTACCTTGTCTGTACCGCATGAAAAGTATTGGGCCTCGTAACGTGTCACTCCCAGATACTACTGAAATAGTGGCTACATATGCGCCATCTCACTTCATTCGCGGGAGGCTTTCTTGTTCAAACAACTGTGATAGCTGTCTCGTTCAGACAGGACAAATGTTGGCTGCCGCTTGAGCGCCTATGTCGGATCTACACGAGCACCCCACTGCAATGTGGGCCCAGCGTTGTGTGCTGCCTGGGATCTTAGTTTCACAAGCGAACTTTGAAACCTGGAATATTTCCACCTTATCTTATGTCATAACGTACAGGTTTAACCCATCGAAGCGAGTGATTGTGATCAATTTCGTCCTACAATTTGAGAACAAGTCAAGTTACATCGGTATGTTTGAAACCAAGGCATTGTGAAGATCTGGCCAGTCAACCCCATCGTCTGACCAAGTTTTTCACTTAGAAATAAAAGAACATCGGAAATATGTAACTCATGGCATGCGTCATCTATATCCCACGCTCTTCATTCGAACAATTTTATGAAGCACCAGCTGCTCCCCGTCAAACTTTCGCGTCTTCCTATTTGAGGTTCATCGAATTCTGTCCCATAACGTTTAACTGAAGGAGCTGAAATTTTGAACAGCCATATGAGAATCGATAATACTGGGTGGGTCCCGTCATCCCCCCTCTACTTTCACAAATCCCTGAATTTCGCTCTCTGCCAAAATACAGGTTTGGTTCTATAGCATTCAAATGACACAAACTGTGCGAATTGGTTACTTTAGCGTATCAGATGAAGGGAGGGTGATGCCTCCTATTCTCATAGATCCAAAATTTCGCTCCATAGTCCTCCAGTCCCCGATATATGTATTCTTGACATCTGAGGAAGCATAGGCAAGGTGCGAGTTTACATCACTACTCTTCATTTCGTCTGTCCTCAGTTGCAATAGCTGGCTCGATTTGGTTTAGGGTCCAACATTCAGACAGAAGAATCCATAGAGGCTAGAGTCACGATGGAAATATATCGAAGAATCGATTGGAGAATCAATACATTGATGAATTAAATATTGCCCAGGCAATGAAGGGAAGGATAACTTCATGCGCCTCATCCTTTCATTTCCCAAATTAAACAGGGTAGGCAAAGGAGGGATTCAGTGCCTTTTACACTCATAAATGATCCATATCTTTCTTAACTCTTTCTGCCCGAGCCGTACAACCCCGACATGCCCGTATTCTGCTGAAACATTGAGCATTTAAGCTCGTAGGATACTCTACTGCAGAATTTAACAGACAATGGTTTCCGAATCAATATAATCATGTTCATAAAGCCATTTATTATGCACCTGCCCAGAAATAATGAGAAACGCCCTACGAAACGTAAACGCTGATGAAACTATTTTTAAAAATTATATAGGAATCTTTTCAACTAACCAATATGGAATTTTTCCTTTGGGACAAAAGTCGTCCAACCTAATGGAACGAATGCATTAGAGAGCGGAAGGAGACTCACTGTGAAATATAAAAAAAATCACCCAATCTATCTCGACCTTTAAATTCAGACGCAGACTGTCCACAGACGCAGACCGTCAAGACTGTCCACCGTATTTACGTTGCAGTCAGAGAATGATGGAGGCGTGCGATAACATGAATCATGCAAGCGACATCTGCTCGTCAGACGCGAAGTCGCGAGCATTTAAGCAAATGGGATCGATTATTAGGCATCGACTCACTCGGGTGTATGGGATGATCGCAGGAAGCGCGTTTCATTCCGTCCTCCATGCCCTCGGAGACGGAAATTCCAAGGGGAATTCTATCCATTGCTTTCTACAGACCGAGTCTTGAGTAAATCATCTGAAAAGTTTTGAAGGTGAGTGAAGGTCGATTATCAATCGCTTATTATTATCGATTACATATGACTATTGACTGCTTGTTTTATTCCGAACACCTGAGGAAATATGGGCCGGTACGAGGGTCTCACTTTTCATTTTTTCTTTGTTATCACTTGTACTGAAGTCTGTTTCAGCATTCACGCTCGATCGAGAACGAATTTTAGTTTCGATGGTGGAATTGAGATATCTCAATTCGACACGCTTCTCACATCGCACGTAAAATGTAGTCCACATACTCATATTTCCCCGACTTACCCTATCGCCAAAACGAGAAATATGCGTAGACATAACCGTATCGTGATGATCGGCGTAGAAGAGCTAATCAGAATAAATGAAAATGTATTGAAGGATCGGCGATCGTAATAGTGTTTACCTCAAGGGCACGGCTGTTCGAAATCGGAAATATTTCCATGGGAGTACCGCACGCCTGGGCAGACTTTCCACTTCAGAGGACTTCTGACTGTCTCTACCAGAAAACTCTCAAAAGAAATGAGTGAATAAAACGGCGATGACCGGTACCGTGTAAACCAAACACGGATCTCATACTTTCCGGGGTGGACGTTCGGGTCCAATAAATGTATTCCACGCGCTTTAATCTCACATTTTGAAATTTAATACTATATACAGTATATATATATATATATATATATATATTGGGAGGCTAAGGAACTACATTCAATATGGATCAAGTCGATGAAAACGTGCAGGCATCTATTAAGTTACTTTTAACTGCAATCAGTAGAAAAGGAGGTTACCATTCCACTTCTGTTTCCGTCGGAATACCTTGAAAGTGGTGGTAAGCCTGGGGTAAGTTCCTGTCAGACATCAACCTGGCTGAAGAGCTTCCTCGATTAATAAGAGCAGCATTCCATTCCAGGCGTAGACGTACGTGAAGATGGGGAAGGTTGACTCGGTCCGAGAACCCGAAGGTGAACATCAATTCCATACCCTTGGTTTCTTAAAAGAAGGAATCGGGAAAACGTGTGATACATTTTTGTTGTTACCCAGTCGTCTCGAGGCAGAAGAGGCCAGTATTCCGCATCACGGTGAAAGCGATCGTCATCGTCGTCAGCGCAGCCCTTGCTTTCAGACAGGTATAAGAAAATGTATTCGTTTAAAATATACTGAGTTCAGCAATTCAAACACCCATATACTCATTAGAAAGAAGAATTCAAGATCACATGCCAAAATAGATACAACACGATATGATGCAAAATGGGCTTTCCACATTATTCGTACGAGCATATTCACATATGATGCAAAAAATCGGTATGCTACTCGTCCGACTTTCAATAAACACACTGCCATCGATGATAAGCAATCGTAAAATTTTAGGTCATATTGTTGGTCGAAGAATACGCGTCCTTCCCGACGAACACTCTGTACGTGATAGAAGATACGGAAACGGTGCGAGCTCCGGCATTCACCATCTGTCCAAAACCATCTGCGAGAGCGAACTCCAAATTCAGCCTGGAGACATGGAAGGATGAAAAAACAGCGAAACAATCGACGATCGCGGAGAAATTCAACGACATATTCATCCCGTTCGAAGACCTGATAAAAATCGATCCTCTCTTCAAGTCCTGGATTAGGAATACTTCAACCATGAACGGGGAAACCATCATGACCCTATCACAAATTAAGAATGCTTCGACCATCAACGGGGAAACCTTCATGACCGATTCAAACGGTAAGCGTGGGTGGGTTTCCCGTGGATTCCTCAATAATAAAAGGTGACATCTCGACAAATAACGCTTGCGAATGCAAAGGAACTGGAGACTGGAGGGAGCGAACTTTCTATCGGCGTGCTCGCAACGACTCCAGACTACCTTACTACAAGTGTTTGACGATGTTTTTGATGGATGAGATGTCGACCGGAGGGAAACCATGCAAGGAATATTTCATCGGTATCAATTTCAATGCAATCACCACTACCAAGCTGGATGCACGGAGCGCCAAGGTGAGAGGGATCCGCTCGATCCCGTGCATGACGAGAGATGCAGCATTGTAAATGAGGAAGATGTGCCTTCACATGTTCTCACGTGATTCTTGCAGGTGGAGGTTTTCGTCCACGATCAGAGAGAGAAATTCGCAAGGTTGTACCTCTTCGAACCGGAGAATATCGTGCTGCGCAACAACACCGTGACCACTCTTCTGATTCGCCCCGAGTTCATCGAGAAGCAGAACCGATGGCAGGATCCTTGCACTCTCGACGAGGGATACAGCTACAGCCGGGTGAGTTGGGGCCACGAGAAAAAGAGGTTCTGATAGAATTCAAGAGAAAAAAAAGCCATCATATCGTTAACGGATTTTCTAGTGCATGGAGAAATGCTTCTGGAAAAACATCCAATTAGACAAAGATCTGCCGTGTCTGAACCCTTCCCTCCTGCCCGAGGAAGCCATTCTCTTGAAGCCAAAATGCCAAGATATCGAGACAGAACGCAAACACTTGCAGAAGTTGACGACTGCCTACGAGAACCACACGTTATTGGCGTATTGCAACTGTCCTAAGAGATGCAAAGTGGCAGATTATCATATCTTCGTGGATCCATCCCCTGCTTGCCAAGAGGAGTTCGACAACTATACCGACGCTGGATACGCCTGGCTGGCCATCAGTTTCCCCTCCAAACGAGTTCGTCCTTTATCTGCTCGAGATTGTATACTTTTTTATCTGGCATTTCCATAGGTACTATGGGGAAATGCCAGATATTGCGGTCGGTCTGTCACGTTTTTCTTTTTTTTTCTTTCTTTCTTTTTCATTCCGTCTGTCCCCAGTAACCATAGCAACCGGACAACACGACCCAATGCGCACGCGAAGTTTTCCGCCTGGGTCGGAGTGCCCGTCTTTCACGAATACATCCACTTCCCTTCCAGCCCTGGCGGTTGACGGATCCGTAGTAGACAATGGAGGAGAGCGGCTGCTAGCAGGCTGCGTTAACAGGGTTGTTAGACGCACGCGTGAAATGCCACCATCCTACACTTCATAATGTCCTCCCATCTCCGCGCGACGTGGACGCGCGGACCATCAAGAACATGTCTTGTTGTCCAGAATTTTTCAAATAGGCCTGCACCGAGCCAATGACAGCTATTATTTATTTCAAGGTTGAACGGTTAGGATGCGGAAAAAAAATAAAATAAATCCAGTGGTACAGGGGCCAGTGGTATGCCAGATCCGTACCTGGGCTGGTTCTCTCTACTGACAGGAGTCGGAGATGATGCATTCGCTCACCTCCTGTGCCGTTTTGCGGCCGATCATCCGATGCCTAGCGCAGTACCTAGCTCAGAAAAATTGATATATTTGGCATGACGTGGCAAATGTACGAAATTCCAATTAAAAAAATATTGAGTGCGTAGGTAGCGAGCTCCATCAGTCAGTAAGTTCTTAGCAGATGCGCGGGGGTCCAATCCTCGTACCTAGTACCCCAGCGGTCTCTAGGTGCCTTACGCTCTTGGTGGCAAGCTAATTAAAAACACATGCCTTCGTCGTGTGACAGACTGACGTTCTTGGTGCAATTATATTCAACTTTACTCAAATCCAGGGTCCAGGTTCTTTCGTATTTATATTTTCTGTGGCATTGAGGTATGTACGAATGTTGACCGACCGACCGAGCTCTCTAGCCTCCATGCATCATGGATTAGAACGCTCTCGAAATGTTGCTCGTAGCAAATGTGCAACGACATTTTCAGGCATACTACTTATAAATTTGAGGTATGCATTTTTTGCCACTTTTCCCGTGTTCTAGGACCTAAGTAAAACAAGCAGATGTTTTTCGTGGAAAAAGAAAAAAAGCATCCATTAATGGATTAAGGAACACCGAGATGGAAGGTCGTTCCAGGTTGGACTCGGATATTTCCTTAGAAATCTTCATCCCTGAGCATATTCTTACCTGTGGACACCTCATTTCCCTCATAAATCTACCTGTTATAATTATGTTCCTCCTGCAACGATCCAATTGTTTTAAAACAAATTCAACAGTGGAGTTTCATCTTATCCATTTTTTTCAGGTAATTAAAAGGAAAAGTGAAATTAACGAAGGAATGTCTCAACAGGTGCCCATCTTCCTGGAGAAAGAAAAGGTGAGTCTCACAGATCTCCTGGCCAACATCGGGGGAATCATCGGGATCTGTCTCGGCGTTTCCCTCGTCGGCCTCTTCGAATTCATCGACCGCGCTTGCGCATTCATCTGGCGTAAGCTGTTCCCATGGGCAACTGCAGTCGTCGACGTCGTCGATAAGAACTGATTCCACGACGCGGTCTCCATCCGTCCGAAGACCACGTAGGATTCCGATCTGCAGCCATTTCTCTTTCGTGCCACACGACCGTATCTTTGTGCTATGGATATTTCCTCCTTATGAACACGTCCACGGGTGTCTTTTCTCGCCGACAGGATAGCGAGGGACCGAGTTTGAATTCCCAACAACGCGTGAATGCATTCTTCTAATCTGTGAGATGCGATCCTCGTTTCACCCACAGCTTCAGCTTTCTCCATTTCCTATCGTACAATGCCAGCAACGAGACTCCGTATTCTTCAACTCCTGAAGCATTTCTTTGGAATCATTGGGTAATGCCAAAAGCTACTAATAAATCCGATGTTCTGAAGGAACTTTTGCCGTCTAACTGTGCTATTTAAGTAGAGTATAGTAGCACTCTTTCTTCAGGAAGGGATCGAGCACAATAAGTGTGTTATTTACCCACAGTATTTTTTGACTCCGGAAAAGTTTAAGATTCCTGCCATCGTTCTCCTCGAGTAACTGTCTGACTTTCTTGATTAATGAGCAGACGCATTCATTTTCACTTAGTCCTTGCGTAAGATGAAGCAATTCGGATAACGATTCGGAAAATCCTGGCATGTCCTTAGCTTTGAATCTGAAGCGGCTCCTTGACGTCCGTAAGTCACCTTCCACATACCACGCACCACGACACGGACGCACGAAGCATCGAAAATACGCCCAGTTGTCCGGGCCTTTTCATATAGGTCAACAAGTCGAAAACCCGTGCACACGTGGGGTTTGTAGGGGTTTGTACCTTCGCCTTTCTTCACTGGATGGCGATAGTCAGAGAAAATGGAATCCGAAGGTTTTCGAACGAGGTAAAACACAGGAATTTTTGCTTAAAATTAACGCGAAAGGTCATTTTTGTCAGGTCAAAGGTCAACTAAGAAAAAATCTAAAATGAGTTAGCACGTCTACAAATAATTCCGACTCGAATGAGCTGTTATGATGAAAATCGGTCGAAACACCTGGGAGAAGTGTACTGGACATATGCAGGTCGTTATGTAGATAATGTACCAATGACACCTATTATTCATTTAAAAGTTGGGTTGTGAGGATGCGGCGAAGATGACTCCATCGGTATAGGGGCCAGTGGAATGGCAGATCTGCACCTGGGCCCGTACTTTCTTCTTTCTTCTATATATTCCGCTTTCTTTCTTGCAACTCTCTTTGTCTCATTTTCACGATCCACGGTATTCCTTTAGTCTCTGAAATGGTGCGTAAAAATAATAAAGTTGATGATTCAAGGTTCACTTCCTCACCGACCGTCCGAAATCGTTCATTATGTTTAGCAAATCTTTCCTGTTCCTCGCATTTTTAAAATGTAAATTCTCGCTTTCCCCTTCAAAATAAGTCACGAAGGCCCAGAGATGTACCAACGCCTTCTGCTTTAATAAATCAACAAATTTCAATTAAAGTTTGCATATTTCAATCAACTATATGTTATCATTTTTTATTGACACATATCTGACATGGGGTTTTGTCTTGTCTTCTCCTTCGAAACATGCAACAGTCCATGCCAATTATCACGGGTCCCATTTCTATGTATTTCTTCGAAATGTCAGCCTGGAAAATAAGGAAATCTACTCCTTCACACCCAATGATATGAAGCGTATTTCGAGATCGGTGGTCAGTGAATGTGCTTGGGGAGACCATCTTGAAAGCTTTTTCAAACAACTCGAAATCCAGCCTTTCCCATTTAACGCTCTCCCACACGTAGCGTAGTAGGACGTACCCATACTTTCGGACTGCATGACGGCTCTGTACTACTCATGGAGTTCCTCTCAGTAGTTTTTAAGGTACGAATTTTTCAAGTCGGAAAAGATTTGAGTCAGATGAATTAGATGGGTTAAAATGCCAGAAAAAGCCACATTTTTTAAATGCAGGAGTGTGTTAATCCTGTCCTATCCTACCTGTCCGATTAATCAATTTAAATTTATCGAATGCGCATATTTTCCCTTATATTCAGGCAGTTCCAAATTCTTTTTTTTTTGGACCGTCACATCCTGAACCATCAGTAGAATATTTCGTGAGTCTCTTCCCGGGGAGATAGGCTACCTCCTCAAGATATCTTCTTGAGACTTTGCGAATATGCGCCACCTGCAATGAAGGCAGTTAGGACTGCGATAGGGGTAGAAGTGGGTAAATAGGATTAGTAGCGGGTAGATAGTTGGTTGAAGAATCGTCAGGGTGTCTTCATCCTTTTTCGCTAAATCACCTGCGCTTCCCATCCCTGGTCTTCTCTCATGAACAGATTCTTAGATAAGCGTGTTAAACGGGAAACGCATCATAGTCTATTCGAGCGAGAATTGCTTTCATTACATGGTTTTCAGTATTCTGGGACATCACCTTTCGCGTCGTTGCGAGACCAGGAGCTTAGGAATTATCCTGCAACCTTCATTAGTCGATTATTTGCCATTAATTATAAATATTTCCAATGGATTAGTGCTTTATCTCATACGGTAAAGGAGATAGAATTGAATGCTTCTCGTCAAGCATAAAAAAATGGCGGATTAATTGTACCGCATCACCTGAATCTCATGATGCATTCGGTACCATAGCAACCTAGTGACGCCTTGTGATCGATAAAAAGAAACAAACGAAACAATAAATGCTATAAAACTGATTAAGAAGAGACTTCTAGTATCGGAGGGCTGGGAGAATCTTCATCCTTAGCTCACCTTCTGATTCCCTCTCAAGTCATAAAACTCAAAAGCGCCTAAGATAATAGACAAAACGGTAGAAGAGTGTGTATCCCTGTTGTAGGATCCGGGACAGAACCCGAGGCATGGTTAGTGACACGAATGGAATCCCGGCGTCAGCAGAAGCGGGGTACTCTCGTCATGCCATCAACATGGAATAGTGATTGATATCAGTCTCTTCCCGACCGGGCCTGTTCGCCTGAAAAGCGTCTGCAAAACCGAAACCGAGTCCAGAATGTTCGAGCGGAGACGCATGTCAACTACCTTGTATTTCATCGTATGGAAGAAAGGCCCTTCATAAAGCCTCCAGACGACGCATTGGCTGTCGGGAGATTGAAACTTGAGCGCGTGAGAGTGCATGGCCTGGCTTGGCCTCTTCGCCCTTCCCTCCTGCCCGTGGGGGGGGAAGCTCGAGCGTCTCGAAGGGATTCCAATGCGATCGCTTCTTCCATTTTTCCAGTCCGGTTTGTATTTGGTTTCGTGTATTGGTGGTTCGATACGTATTGCCGGTGAACTGAGCTTCGAAGCTTAAAAGCCAGACATTCCCACCATAGGTTCATCTGACCTTATAGTATTTGTAGCCTGTCGCTTCGAATGAATAGGAGCTTCCTTGCCTTCTCTCGATGGTAATAGCCTACCCTATTCAAATATCCTTCTTCGCACATTTCTATTTAAGTGTTTTAAGGCAAAAAGAAAGTTGAGTCTTCTCCATGGCCAATGAACAGAATCACCCCAAGAAAATGAAATTTTTCTTCTCTTGAGAGTGAGAAAAAGTAGCAGATAAATATTTTTTTTAAAAAGCAGATTCGAGAGCACGCATCATTTTCCTCATCCGAAGACAATTCCATAGTCTTAGTCTTCGGATCGAATTCCTATTCTCCCTCTCTCTCCCTCCTTCCCGCCTCGGTGCAGCGGAGAATGGGTATGGTACGGAGAACGAGGCCGAAATGCATCATATGCAAGACAGTTGCACTCAGAATTTTCTGTGTGTATTATGTAAATAAAATTGTGAACATTGCTCCGCGAACATAGCATCAACTTCTTAGTACGGAATTGAGTCAAGTATTGTATGAGGAGGTTATACCCAATACAATAGGCTGAGCACATCCACACCAATCGCACCGCAACACGGGCGGTACTAGGCACGTATCCAGGCAGCACACCACAATTGACCAAAGTTGGCTGTGTGTGTGTTTTTGGGCTAACATCGCTGTGGGCCTCATATTGGCGCTACTGTGGCAGCCAACATTTGCCCCAAGTTCGGATGATCGATCTAGCCGAGTTCCTCGGAGAAACAAGACTCCCGTGAACGAAGCGAGATGGCGCCTAAATCGCTTATGTAGCGAGGTTACCGTCGAAATATGACCAAGGTACTTTTCATGCAATACCTAATCTTTCCCACGGATAACTTGGATGAGGATCACAGTGAAAGAGGTAGCAGAGGAGACATGATGTGAATCGGCATCTGTCATGCCATCATCACCTGAGATTCCGTCATGCCGCGCGTCTCCACAGAGTTCTTTCTCGATGCCGAAGGGGAGCAGCAATGCGTCAGCGTTTTTCAGGATCTGTCGACCGATGCCGCAAACGATCCTCACCTTCTTCAAAATACCATCACGGGCGACGAAACGTGGGTTTACGATTTTACGATGATTTAGTTTACGACCTCGAAACCGAACGCCAGAGTTCGCAGTGAAAGACCGATGCCGAGCCCCGAAAAGGCGCGACGGTGAAAATGGAAAGTGAAGGTGATGTCGCTCGCATTCCTTGACTCTGCGGGATCGGTTCCTCGCGAATTCGTACCGCAGGATGAAACGGTGAACCGGGCCTGAACCGCCTTCGTGACGCCGTGCGACAGTAATTTGCCGTGATTTTCTCCCCGATCTCGACCGCCTCCCATGCACAACCGATTAGGCTCCACGTCATTTCTCTCTCTTTCCCTCGTTGAAATCATCGTCGATGGGAGATTTGAAGACATCGAGTCGATCGGAAACAACGCGACGAGAGCGATTCGGGGGGGGGGGGCTACGAAAGAGGAACGTGCTTCGGGAACGTGCAGGAACGCTGAACAAAGTGTCTGAACGTCCAAGGGAACTAATTTCAAGGAGACAGCTCCCAATGACCCATATGTTGCATCGTGATCTCGGGAAGGAATCAGTCCGCGAACGCACCTTGCATACGAAAACACCTCCGGATACATAAGGAATGGAAAAAGCATCGATGCTGGGAATTTCCTTAAGATTGTAAGTACCCATCGAGCGCCCTTGG